ATGGTCTCAAGGACACGCAGCGCTTCGGCGTTCCGATGGCGCGTCCTCGAACCAGAATAAATGACGTCCTAATTGCTAATCCCGGCCGGAGGAAGGAAGGGCGGGCAATTTCCGAGCTTGAATGGCCCAAATTAAGAGGTGACGGAGAGCCGGCTTTTTTATATCTTTGTTTTCGGTTTGGTGAAGAACTGGCGAACGCTCTGCCCGTATTTATTTGTAGACGTTATCCATGTGTAAATGTATTTTGCAGCCAGACTGAAGTAAACACGACTATGCAGGGCAATGCATCAATCCAAGGTTAGTGTAAATAAACGAGGCGGCCTGCACTGTGCCATGCGTTTCGCTCTCTCTATCTCCGTCTCTGTCTCTTTCGCTGGATTCGAAACTATCGCTCTCGCCTGGATACATATTTATTACTGGGTCGAACTCGGAACGCGACTCTACTGCTGGCTGCAGGAGCTTGCGATCGATTACACGCGAACATTGCAAGTGCAATAACGCAAAAACCGACACCAAAAAGAATATCGACGACGTTTGGAAGGTTTACGAACAAGAAAAAGTTATTTTTAAATTGGGTTGTACTTGAGACTGCACAAGGCAGCGCAGACCTACTCTACTTTTACTCTCCTTTCTTTAAAATAACAAAAACGTTGCCACTAGGTGCTAATTACAAAATCCAAACTATTTACATACTTTGTTGCATACTACAAGCATTTGTTGTTTGTGTTTTCGTGCGACTGTTGGCTCCGGAATGCCGCAAGGGTCCAATTAGATCTCTCGTTATTGTTGTTTTTCACAGATGATCGCAAACTTTTTTCCAATTATCTTGAATTTTGAAGAGAGAAGCAAGAGTTTTATGTTCCCTTATCGAGTGAGGAAAGTACACTTTCTCCATTAGTGAGATTAATTAAAATGGGCGGAAAGGGGGCAAGTGTAACTGCCATTGTTTACAACTTTTGGTTTTGCTTGGATGAAACGTGACAAAAGTGCATTTTTCCCATTCGCGTTTCTTTCTACTCTTGAGGGAAAAAGCTACTTTTCGTACAATCGCACGCAAATGTTTTGAGCCTATGGGCGGATCATTTTTGCCGGTCGTCACCGAAGGAGGCGGTCCAAATCGTCCAAGGGCAGAATTTGTAGGTAGGCTCAAACTACTACGAAATTTACGTGTTGACCAAATTCTTACCCTGAATTAGTTTTAATTTTATAAATACCCTATCTAAAATGTTCAGAATATGAAGAGTCTATACTTGTGATTTACCATTCCATTAATATTTTTTGGATTTGTTTATACATACAGGGTGACTCAAAAAAAAAAAATGACTGAGTCAATTTATTTTATTGAAGAAATCAAGAATTGCAAAACTGAATACTTTGAAATCTTGTCAATTAGTTAGAAAAAAAAAACCTGTCCTGCTCTAATAACATCGAACATCGAGCAAAATCCAAATTTTCCTACAAAAATTTACCATTAAACATGTTTAAGTCTCTGGGAAAAAAAATCATTACAATTGAGATATATTTTCAAATTTGCGGTATTTTGATTTTTTGAGTTTTCAGTTTTTTCGTTTTTCGATTTTTTAATTTTTCGTTTTTTTGATTTTTCCATGTTTCGATTTTTTAATTTGCCATTCTTCCGATTTTCGATTTTTCGTCTTTCCATTTTTAGATTTTTTTATTTTTCTGTTCGTCAGTTTTTAGACTTTGCAATTTTTTTGCATTTTTCGATCATATTTTACTTTCCGATTTTTTTGATTTTTGAATTCTCGATTTTACGTTTTTAGTTCTTCGATTTCCGATTTTTCAATTTTCCGGTTTTTTAATTATTCTATTCTCGATTTTTCGATTTTTCATTAATCATAAAATTTTTCGGTTGTTTTATTTTTCGACCTTCAATTTTTCAACTTTCGATTATTCGATTTTTCATTTTCTGATTTTACGATTTTTCGATTTGCGATTTTTCGATTTTCGTTTTTCCGCTTTTGTGGTTTTTCGATTTTTCTGTTTGTTTCAGTTTTTATGGTTCTGCAATTTGCAGCTTTTAGATTTCAATTTTGTGACTTTCCGATTTTCCACTTTTCGATTTTTTGATTTTTTTTCGATCGTCGTTTTTTCGATTTTCATTTTTTCGATTTTTTCATTTTTCAATTTTTAGGCCTTGCAATTTTTTTACTTTTCGTTTTTTCGAGTATTTGTTTCATCGAATTTTCGAGTTTTCGATTTTTCGGTTTTGGATTTTTCGATTTTCCATGTTTAGATATTTTTCGATTTTTTTTTATTTTTCGATTGTTCTGTTCGTCAGTTTTGAGACTTTGCAATTTTTACTTTTCCACTTTTCTATTATTTTAGTTTCGGATTATTTGATTTTTGAATTTTCGTTTTTTAATTTGTCGATTCTCGATATTCCGATTTTCGATTTTTCGATATTCCAATCTTCGATTTTTCAATTTCCAGTTTTCGATTTTCCACTTTTTGATTTTACGATTTTTCGATTTTTCTGTTCGTCAGTTTTTAGGCTTTGCAATTTGTTTACTTTTCGATTTTTCGATTATTTTTTTCCAGTTTTTTGATTTTTGCATTGTCGACTTTTAGAGTTTTCAATATTATGAACTTTCGATTTTCGGTTTTTCCATTTTTAGATTTTTGATTTTCCAGTATTGTGTTTTCAGATTTTCTGTTTTCCGCATATCTGATTTATCAAATCTTCGATTTTTCGATATTTGATTTTCGAATTTTCGATTGTTCAGTTTTCCATTCTTCAGCTTTTAGACTTCAATTTTTTTACTTTTCGATTTTCCAAATTTTCGAGTTTCAATTTTCAGATTTTTGATTTTTCGATTTTCTTTTTAAATCTTTGAATTTTTCGGTTTTGATTTTTCGAATTTTTGATTTTTAATTTTTCCATTCTTCGGTTTTTAGACTTCAATTTTCTTTCTTTTAAATTTTTCGATATTCTATTTTCCGCTTTTCAGAATTTTCGATTTTCAGTTTTCAGACTTTCGATGATTAGAATTTTGGATTTTTCAGTTTTATGATTTTTCGATTTTTAGAAAATTTGAGTAGTCGAATTTTCGATTTTTCAATTCATCGATTTTTCTATCTTCAATTTTTCAATTTAAATTTTGCGATTTTCAATTTGTCCATTGTCGATTTTTAGAATTTTCGGTTTTTCAATTTTTCCATTCTCAACTGTTTGACTTCAATTTTGTTACTTTCCGATTTTTTGGTTTTCGATTTTCCAATTTTCAGAATTTCCAAGTTTCTTTATTCAGATTTTCGATTTTCCACTTTTTCGATTTTAGATTTTTCGAATTTTTTGCTTTTTTGATTTTTCTGTTCGTTTCAGTTTTTAGGCTTTGCAATTTTTTTTACTTTATATATTTTGATTATTTTAATTTCCGATTTTTTTATTTTTGTTTTTGATTTTTTTAATTTTCAATATTACAAATTTTTGACTTTTCGATTTTTTGGTTTTCCCGTTTTTCAATTTTCGATTTTTGGGGTTTGTGAATTTCCACTTTTCGATCGACCTAGGTATTTAATTCATTGAATTTTCGATTTTTTGATTAGCCATTTTTAGATTTTCGATTTTTACGATTTGTATTTTTCGATTTTCTGTTTTTTGCATTACTGAATTTCAGTTTTCCCGATTTTTGATTTTGCGCATATTTGATTAATCAAATTTTCGAAAAAGTTAGCATGCTTACAAAAACTTCAAAACATCTACAATATTTCAAAGTATTCAGTTTTGCTATTCTTGATTTCTTCAATAAAATAAATTGAATCCGTCATTAACTTTTTTGAGACACCCTGTATAACCAAATCTAAAAAATATTAATGCAGTGATAAATCACAAGTATAAAACTCATCATATTTTATACATTTAAGATAGGATTTATTCTGCAAAATTTTGAGGTGACGTCATAAATTTTTTAGAGGGGATAAGCAAATATATTTTAATAAAAAATGTATCAGGTTTATCATGACTTTAAAACATCTGCAAGATTTCAAAGTATTCGATTTTGCAAATTCAAAATTAAATTGCAAAATATTGTTTTATAATTTTGATTTTTTTTCCAAAACACTGGACGTTTTGGATAAAAACTCAACACGGAGTCATAAACTACATGTGTAGGACTATGTTACTGTATACAATTTAAAACCCATTTACTATGCATAAATTTGAAGTGACGTCATCACATTATTGGTGGGGGTGATTAGACAAATTTAATAATTCTGCGACATTTATGAAAAAATATCAGTTAACAAAAATGGCACGTTTTTATTATTATGCCAGTTACATGTCACTCAACGACAATACTTCTAAACAACATGTTTGAAACAAGTGTCATTTCAAGCTAAACCAAGGTTTGGAAACCTGTTACGGTTACTTTCGTTAATTTGTTTCTGTTTAATATGTAAATAGGCTCGATATTAAACATATTAGAACTCAAAATCGACCACTTACTTACATAACCTCAAATTTGTCCACTTCGACCATCAAGTGCAAAGAAGACGATAAATCCAGTTAGTTTTAGCTACGCCTATACAAATAGCGCAAATTTTTGCACTAGAATTTGTATTTATCAGTTTACTGGCCTACAAAAGACAAATTAAACGTAAAACATAACCTCAAAATTACCCTCTCCGTTCGAAGCTTTGGCGACTTCAGCTGCACTTTCGTCCGCATTGTTATAACTGAATGAATATCCAAACAGCGACTATAAGTGAAAAAATAAACTGAAAAAACCACAATAACAATCTTTTTTTGGTCGTGTTTGTCAACATTCTTATTACGTAACGTCAAGCCAGTACTACCATCGTACTAAGAAAAAATGCCCAGTCAGCAATTAATTTCACACCAATTATATTCTTTTGAATCTTAATTTTATAATCCACTTGGGTAACACCATAATGCTCGCCTCACTAAAAACAAAATACGCTACGCTACAATTTCTATTTTATGCATTTTAAGCCAGTTAATGTTGCCAACTTAACAACTTTGGTCATTAAAGTGATTGGCAGCGGAAATTTAATTTGTCATTAAATGTTTCCATTTCGTTCTCAGTTGGAAGAAAATCGAGCCTGATCATAGGGTAAGTACTTCAAGGGTTTAAATAACAATTCGTAAAAATCGGGGGGTTGCTAAAATCGGTTGAGGTTATGTTTGCAGAGTGAAAAATGTGCAAGGATAAAGAAGAAAAACCCCCCGGTGAAAAAGGTCCGCGTGCTAAAACCAGTGTGAAAAATTTCGCGTCGAAGATCCTCGGGTTTTTCTCATCTGGTAAATCGTTGCAAGATAATTTACCTCCTCGTCCTACACTGTCGTCCATCATCGGTATAATTAGATCTTGGACACCTAAACGACCCATGAAATACCCGTACACCATGGGCGCAAAAGTAATCCAGTTTCCGTACAAGTTCTACTACCAGAATAACTGGATATGGAGATATTATCCGTATGGCATTTTGGGGTCGGTGCCGGTTTTCTGGTACTTGTCTAGTCTGGGTAAGTCAAACTTAGTTTCGTCACGCATTTCGACGTTTTTTGTAGCGAATTCGCCGTCGAACGTCGCAACCTGGGCCGAGAAGCGTCGCAAAGAGCGCGAAGAGGGTCATTAAAAAGTAGATTTTGTTATTAGTGTAAATAATAACCAAATAAAAACTTTTCGACGCAACCCATCCTTGCTTCTGAAACTATAAAAGCCAGCTTGATAATAAGATAGATCAACAAAGGCGAAGGGGGCCCGGCACAAAGACAACATTGTAAATTCATTGAAACATAGTGTAAACAGACGGAGGCACTTAACACGATTTGCCTCTTTCTATCCTGACGCACACACATAAAATGCATCGCTCGCGCGAACCCTTTGAACGAGACAACACTAAAAGGAGCATGGGACGCAGTGTTGCAACTTAAAAAAGTTTAGTTCCTTTTCAAAAAATTTTAGTGAGATTCGATGGTCACTAAAGAAAAGGCGGGAAACGTTAACAGATGACAGATCTCGACTTCGCAGTAATTATAAATTCTGATAACAATATTATAATTTTGTGATTATACATATTTAATATACTATAATTGCAAGTGTTCTGTGATTGTAACTGGCAGCAGAGATATTCACATCTTCCGACTTCCTGTGATACTGTGATTGCTGAGACCTGTGACTGTTCTGTGTTTAGACTGCACTAGCACGTAGTTTTACGCTCCAGGTAATTTACAAACATATAATTATCAAATACTGGTCATTTAAGCTTACAGACAGTAGACAGTTTTATTAGAGCAATACAACATGGATCACCCGGATCAAGTATCATCAGAAACGTGTATACACTGTGGAAAAAAATTTGCCAATTGCAAGCTAAAAAATCGACATATCAAAAGAATACATGGCATTGTTATAGAAAACTCTCGGAGGTGTCACGTTTTATGCCCATTGTGTAAAGAAGGAAACATTTTAAAGACTTATGAAAATTTACGGAATCATATTGAAGAAATTCACAAGGTAAGTATAGAACATGTAAAGTTTGAATTCTGTAGCGAACAACAATATGAAGACTGGAGAAATGCCGAAAAAGTGGATACAAATTATGCAAAATATAGAACAAACTCATGTAAGAGTTACAAAACTATAAATTATGAGTGTAACAGAAGCAATACCAAGGGTAAAATAAGCGTTCTCTATGTAATTGCAGATATGATGAATTGAGTTTTTAGGATATGGAAGCAACTACTGTAAAAGAACTGAAAAAGCTGGTGGCACAATAAAAATACATGGAGTGTGTCCTTCAAAGTTAATTGTTAAGATTTATAATGGTAAAATTTGTTAATCAGTTTAGAAAAATTAAGTTTAATTATATTATTATCCAGATGGAAAGATAACTGTTGACTATTGGAAAACTCATGTTGGCCATCAAAAAGATGAATTAAGAAGTAAGCATTTGTCAGCAGTAGAGAAGAATATGGTGATTGAAAAATTAAAGTCTGGTGTATCAGTAGACAGAATTTTAGAAGATGCAAGAAAACTAGAAATGCCTAAATTGGAACGAATAAATTTGTTAAATAGAAAAGACGTTGCATATTTATCCACTAAACACAATATTGAAGGAAGAAGAGATAAAAATGAAATGGTAGCAGCTGCTTTGAAAGTTAGAGAATGGAATAGAGAAGGCAAAAATTTTGCATTTTTCTTCAAACCGGAAGGTAATTAGGGATTATCATCTTTCTGTCTATTGTATTGTCGACATGAAAATTGAAAAGGTTTTTTGATACTTCTTTATAGTGGTGATGGAATTTAAATAATTTGGTTGCTTTTTTTAGTTAATATTATGTATATTTCAATTTCACTATTTTTTGGTTTTAAGGCTCAGCGTTTAAAATTTCTTAGGTTCTATCATGTGAACAAAAAAATTGGTCGAAAATTGTTTGGACAGAACTTCCCTCGTTCCTGAAATACAATGGAACATATCCAGCATTTTCGAATCGAGTTTTTTCTTTACACAATTTTGTGAAAACGTCATCAACATTTTTGCAAGGACATGTATATCAACATCAGTGCAGTGTAATACTAAAAATAATAATATTGTGTTCCAAAAATTTTCTGGGAAAATGGAGTGAACCGTTTTCCTAATTTAATCAATAAAATAACTTGACTCATTCATTAATTTTTTTGAGCCACCTGTATAACCATATCAAAAAAATATGAATGCAATGTTAAATCACAGGTAAAAACTCTTCATACATATTTTGCACATTCTGGGTAGAATTTATTTGGCAAAATTTTAAGATGACGTCATCAATTTTTTTCGAGGGGATAAGTAAATATATTTTGATTAAACATTTTTCATGAGTACGAAGAAAGAGGTCTACCTTTTCTGTCTCTGACCGTCTGTCTGTCTGGTGTTACGGATTTTTATTAAACAGATAATCTCCGAAAGTACTTTGCCGCTTGTTTTCAAATTTTCTATTTATATTAGGAGTATCATGTAGATGGTAAAACGCTAACCAAAATTTGTCTAATCATCCCCACCAATATTGTAAAGACGTCACTTCAAAATTGTACATAGTAAATGCGTTTTAAATTGTTTAAAATAACATAGTCCTACACATGTAGTTTATGATTCCGTGTTGTTTTTTTTACTCGAAACGTCCAGATTTTTGAAAAAAAAAAATCAAAATTATGTAACAACATTTTGCAATTTAATTTTGAATCTGGAAAACCGAATCCTTTGAAATCTTGCAGATGTGTTAAAGTTATGATAAGCATGATAACTTTTTAATCAAAGTATATTTGCCTATCCCCTCCAAAAAATTGATGATATCAGCTCAAAATTTTGCTGAATAAATCCTATCTAAAATGCTCAAAAACAGTCTACATTTGTAATTTAGCACTTACATTACTGTTTTACATTACCTTATACCCGGTGACTGAAAAAAAAAATGAATCAGTCAATTTATTTTGTTCTTGCTATTATCTAGGTATACATTTTGGGCAAAAAACCGAGTATGTTTACTTAATTAATTGGTCCTCTCTTCTGTGTTGAAGAGACAAAATCAATCAAATATCAGTTTCTTTTAATACATATGCATGCATTTAATGCCACCGTTACGTACTTCAATGCCGGCGCTGATATGATATGACGTGCTAATGGTCAAATTCGTTCATAGCATAAACATAAACAACACTGTTAAAGTTAAACAAGTACTAGGAATTAAGAACACATTGTTTCCAACTGATTATTTGCTTTAAATATATTTCATATTGTCCGCATTTGTTCAGACCGTGCCCGCTTGGAATTTACATCCTCGAGGCGCAGGGATTGAGGGCGTGTTATTTACCCTTCTGAAGCGAGGGAAGTTCTGTCAAAATAACCTTCGACCAATTTTTTTATTATTCACATGATACATGTTATGTTGTCCAACATTTATTGTACTGTTTAATAATATATTTTTGTACAAAAATGATATTTTTTCGCTTTGTTGGGAAGTAACTATTTCTATATTCTTGGTGGTGGTGGTGGTGGTGGTGGTGGTATTATTTATGTTGGTGATGGTTTTATCATAGAGAGACTCATGATATTCTCAAGAAAGAAGATTTTGCTTTAGCCTTTATGAACTCTGCAATGGAAGACAAACTTCGAAATTTCACGACGATTGTTTGCATGGATGGTACACATGGGACAAACAAAAAAGGACTGGACTTAACAATTATGCTGATTAAAGATGATAGAAATGCAGGATTCCCAGTTGCTTTCTTTTTATCAAATCGTTTAGACCAACAAGTACAAGAAGTGTTTTTAGGTGCTCTTAGGATAAAAATGCAGCAGGATATTAAACCTGAATATTTTATGAGTGATGACGATCCCAAGTATTACAATGCATGGATTAAAGTGATGACAAACAAACCACAAAGACTTTTGTGTTCATGGCACATTGTAAAGAACTGGAATATCCAAGGAAAAAAAATCCATGATGTTACAATGAGAAAACAAATGAAGCAAGAAATGAAAAGAATTTTAAATGAGACTAATGAGAAAAAATTTATTGAACTGAAGGATGCATATCTGAACAAGCTGCAAGAAGCAAATGAGCTGGATTTTGCAAATTATCTTTTAAGGTACTTTTAGTTTTGTAAATATAAGTAATTATCATAATATTATAAATAATAATAGTTTTATATTGACCAAAACATACTTTGTTTTAGGTATTATTTTCAGGATGAAGACAGGATTCGAATGTGGGCCCATTGCTATAGAAAAAATGCTGGAATCAATACCAATATGGCTATAGAGAGTCTTAATAATTTATTGAAGACTAATCAGTTAAAAAGTAGAACAAGAGTAACAACAGAAAAATTACTAGACACAATTGAAGACTTGGTGGAGATAAAAATGTGGCAGAGGATTTTAAGTATTGAAAGGCCTAACGCTAACAATTACCAGGACAGAATTATCATTAAAGCACACAAGGAAGCTCACAGAATAAAAAACAAAATAGAAGTAATTGAAAAACAGCTAGGAGGATTCCAAGTTAAGTCTTCAAAAAATGACAATTTTTATAATGTTAATTTAAAACAAATATGTGAGAGTGAATGTAAAACATTATTTTGCAGAGTGTGCAAAATATGTATCCATCGATATCAGTGTGATTGCCCAGAATACATGATAAAAAACTCCATGTGCAAGCATGTGCACTTGGTATGTATGTATGAGGAGCGGAAGGGTACTAATTCTGTTCTAGATGAAGCTGCTGAAGTTCTGGGACAAAACTCGCAAATTAGGATCCATCATCAAGAAGAAATTTCCCAATTTTTAAAAGAAAAAATGACGCAAGAGGAAGTGGATGAAGTGACTGAACCAAATTGGAGAATGGTTACAGAAAAACATTTAACAAACTGGATACACAACTTAAACGATGAAACTTTTGTCAGTTTTTGGAAGGACATACAAGGGATTATGAGAAAAGCAGATGAAAAAAGTAACACAACAACCACTAAGCGAAAAATGGAAAAGCAGGAGTACTTCCCTACAAAAAAACGTAAAAAAGCATAAAGCACTTTTTTCAAAATTGAATATATCCTTTTAGGAATGCACGCGAACAGAAGTGATTCATAAATGAAGAAATGGAGAAAATATTGACAAATGGTGAAAAGAAGAAATTATGTTAAGAGATATTGTTTAACATTAAATTTGTCGTTCAAATTATTATAGATTTCGTATAAAATGTAATTTAGTAATTTGTTTATGATTCTGTTAATATATTTAGTCTTCTAAATTAAATGAGTAAAATAAAGTTTTTATTTACGAATAGAATATGAGCACCAGCTTGTTATTTCTAAAATTTAAAACCTTAATTGTTAGCAAATAATGAACTAATGATTTATGGTAAGTTTTCATACTGAAAATATTTCGAGATGAACATCAAAAGTACCAAAACGTCAAACTCTTCAATATTTGCAGTATAGCCACTTGACTTTTAGGTAAATAACTAAAAATTGTAAAATCCCCTAGCACGTCCCCGGCTCCTTTTAGTGTAGCCTCTTTGAACGTCGTAATTTTAGTGAGAGCCCGAACCGCGCCGACGAAGCAGGAAGGAAAAATCCGCTAGATATAAATATTGCTGGCGCGTCTCAAAACAAAACGTTGCAAGATGTGTGTGTATACACGAGGGGAGCCAGCGCCGGATGCACTCCGATAAGATAGACCCTTGATAAAACCCAGACGACCGAAACGCCGAAGACGCTACCACTTCAAAGCGTCCACGAAGTCCGCGCAAGTGACAGATCAATAAACAAAGGCATGCACCTCCAGGGTCAAAAACCCAAGACCCAGCGTTCGTGTACACTTGTCAATTACGATGGGTTCTAGGTGGAGCCGAGGATTGATGAGCAGACGTAAGAAAGCTTCATTACCATATAATATGATTTACAGGGAACATAAAACGGAAAACATTGATGGATGGTCGAGCTGTTCGATGGGTGTCTTGAAGTATGTGGGTTATCCGCGTAAATAAATCAGCGCGTCGGGACGCTTTCCAGATTTAGACGGACCTCCCAACTGCCCACCCATAATTTACGCCACAGTTGGCGCTGTTTTGTTTACGCCGGGATGATTAACGGGCGGAGTCGAATGACAGAGCTGCACCATCCCGACCTACGCCAACCGTTCCAAGACGGCCGGCGTAAAAATAGGATGGTCGATCGGAGGAAATCGCGAGACCCTAGGAGGGTCGATGGAACCCTAGAGAGAGTCCTGGCAAGGCGCCCGTTCCTGAATGCGACCGCGCTATTTATAAATCAGCTGCACTTATACATTCCAGATGCATGCCATAATGAGGTTACAAGGACCGTTCTTGACTTTGTCTGGTGCATTAGCGGCTTAGTGGGTCTTCGTGCCTCACTCGGCCACGAAACCCTGCAAGAGCACGCTAGCGCCCGTAAAAGGATTTGTTTGCGAGGGGGTTCCCGATAAATCAGATGGCGGCGATTCCTCCGAATCCATTAGAACCGGTCCGGATTAACATACGACGCTCCGCGTTTCCACAGCTCGATATCGACCGGCTCGTTATTGCCCTTTGTTCCCGCAAACTAGGGCAAAGTAATATCTGCAGCGACTGTGTACAATAAAAAGTGAAAATAAAACGCGACTGACTTTTCTCGTCTTGCGAATGCACCCAAAGATAAACCCCAACGACGTCGTTCCAGCTCGGAAAAATATACACCACACGTGTTAATATGCAGCGTTCAGGTGTTTCCAGTCACATCGTGATGCGATTATTGGCGCTCGGATGCAAAAAGCGCTTTATTTTTAGACGCTTCCAGGCCACTGCACCATCTGTATCGTTTAACTTGAACTTCGCCGATAAATATTGTATTAAACACGAATAATAAATAAATAGCGATGTTTGATTTGTTTTGCCAGAGCGAACCCTTGAATCGAGCCAGACGTGTGTAAATAAGCACGAGATAAGAAAGCGACAAAGTGAAAATTCTATTTCCTGACGAAATTTAATTGGATCCGCTTATTATGTTAGTAGTGGAATGCGCTGGTCTTATTTCCTCCGGCTTATCGCTTGTTTATAGTTATGTGGGTTATCGGATGACCTGTCCTAATAAACATCAAACAACAAGACTGTTTTTGTCGAGCCGTCACACCGAAATCGGAAAATACAGAAGCATCTCGTCCCTCGGACAAACCGAGGCGGATTCATGGACCACGACATAAAATAATACAACATTGAAGTGCAATTTGTATGTGGAGATTATTAAAAAACTGCTTGAAGGTTATTTCGACAAAACTTCCCTGAACTGCATTTTGGTTAGCTTCTCTTTTGGCATTTCTAGTAATTCTATATTTTCTATTAAAATGTACGCAGAATCTTGGTTTACATTGTAGTGAATTCTTTCGCACCAACTATTTGTTCTATGGAATATACAAGTTTATCTAGAGGTGGCGGTGTTGTTTTTGCCACTAAAAACTGTTACTTTTGCACTGATATGGATTTTTCATTAATAACCAACATTTTTCCTTCTATTTATTATTATTTTATACCGGGTGTCTGAAAACGGCGGATTAACTCTTCAGTACGTTATGTACGAGGGTTTCGGGGTCCCAAAAAAATAATAAAAACGTTCTTTATGATGTAGATTACGAAAAAACCCAAGAAAATAGAGGGTGGGTGGGCGGGGCTGGTACCTGCGAAGATAAAACTGATTTTGGCAAATATGATCCCTGAATGAAAAAAGAGGGCGGGCAAAGTTAAACTTTTTCCTACAGAAGCAAGCAATAGTCCCGCCCACCCACCTTCTCTTCATTCCAGTGACTGCTCTTAATATTGTTCTGTCATTTTCCAAAATCAATCTTATCTTAGCAGATACTAGCCCCGCCCACGCACGCTGTTCTGATTCCAACAAACTTATCGCTCTTCATTTGAGATCCACCTCTCAGTCTGACTAGACGAAATGAATCACTGAAATGGAGACGGGGTGAATTATATCTTCTTTCGTAAGGTAAGAATGGGAATTAATAAAACGTAGGCTTTAAAAAAAAAGCGTTAATCGTATTTTTTTTTTTGTTATACCACTTATTTGCATATTTCCGTATTTCTGAAAAAAAAGAGAACGGGTGGGTGGGCGGGGCTAGTACCTGCTAAGGACGACATATTTTGGCAAGTAAGATCTCTAAAAAAAGAGAGTATATGGGCGGGGCTGGTACTTACTAAGATAAGACTGATTTTGCCAAATGACCCTCTGATGAATGGACGGTGGATGGCAAGTATTGGCCCCGCCCACCCACCCTTTATTTTCTTAGAGGCCACGTTATTTGGCAATATTAGCCTTATCAGCTTTCTTTTCTTACAAAGTATCTCATTTGCCAAAATCACTCTTATCTTAGCAGGTCCTAGCCCCGCCCGCCCACCCTTTCTTTCCTTGGAAGGTATGTCATCTGCCAAGATCAATCTTATCTCAGTGGGTGGGTACTAGCCCTCCCCGCCCACCCTCTATTTTCTCAAAGGGTATGTCATTTGCCAAAATCACTCTTACCTTACCGGGTACTAGCTACTTACTAAAACAAGATCGATTTTGGCAAATAATATACATTCCAAGGAAAGAGAGGGTGGGTGGGCGGGGCTAGTACCTGCTAAGATAAGTGATTTTGGCAAATGATATATTCTCTAAGAAAGGAGAGGGTGGGTGGGCGGGGCTATTACTTGCTAAGATCAAGCTGATAATGGCAAATGCCCTACTCTCTAAGAAAATGAAGGACGAGTGGACGGGGCTGGTACTTACTAAGATAAGATTTTGCCAAATGACCCTCTGATGAATGGAAGGTGGATGGCAAGTATTGGCCCCGCCCACCCACTCTTTATTTTCTTAGAGGCCATGTTATTTGGCAATATCAGGCTTATCAGTTCTCTTTTCTTACAGAGTATCTCATTTGCCAAAATCACTCTTATCTTAGCAAGTCCTAGCCCCGCCCACCCACCCTTTCTTTCCTTGGAAGGTATGTCATCTGCCAAAATCAATGTTATCTCAGTAGGTAGGTACTAGTCCTCCCCGCCCGCCGTCTATTTTCTTAAAGGGTATGTCATTTGCCAAAATGACTCTTACCTTACCAGGCACTAGCTACTTACTAAAATAAGATCGATTTTGGCAAATAATATACATTCCAAGGAAAGAGAGGGGCTAGTACCTGCTAAGATCAAGCTGATAATGGCAAATGACCTACTCTCTAAGAAAATGAAGGACGAGTGGACGGGGCTGGTACTTACTAAGATAGGGGTGATTTTGCCAAATGACCCTCTGATGAATGAAAGGTGGATGACAAGTATAGGCCCCGCCCACCCACCCTTTATTTTCTTGAGGCCATGTTATTTGGCAATATCAGCCTTATCAACTCTCTTTTCTTACAGAGTAACTCATTTGCCAAAATCACTCTTATCTTAGTAGGTCCTAACCCCGCCCACCCACCCTTTCTTTCCTTGGAAGGTATATCATCTGCCAAAATCAATCTTATTTCAGTGAATAGGTACTAGCCCTCCCCGCTCACCCTTCACTTTCTTAAAAAGTATATCATTTGCCAAAATCGGTCTAATCTTAACAAGTACTAGCCCCGCCCACCCACCCTCTCTTTTCTTACAGGGTATCTCATTTGCCAAAATCACTCTTACCTTAGCAGGTACTAGCTACCTGCTAAAATAAGACCGATTTTGGCAAATAATATACATTCCAAGGAAAGAGAGGGTGGGTGGGCGGGGCTAGTACCTGCTAAGATAAGAGTGATTTTGGCAAATGAAATACTCCTTAAGAAAAGAGAGGGTGGGTGGGCGGGGGTAATACCTACTAAGTTCAAGCTGAATATTGCAGATGACCTACTCTCCAAGAAAATGAAGGACGAGTGGACGAGGGTGGTACTCACTAAGATAAGACTGATTTTGCCAAATGACATACCCTCTGATGAATGGAGGGTGAACGGTATATAATTTGGCAAAATCAGTTTTATCTTGCCAAGTATTGGCCCCGCCCACCCACCCTGTATTTTCTTACCAGGTATATTATTTGGCAATATCAGCCGTATCTGGACAAACACTATCACCGCCCACCCACCCTTTATTTTCTTAGAGGACTAGTATCTGCTAAGATAAGACTGATTTTGGCAAATAACATACCTGCGACGGGAAGAGAGGGTGGGTGGGCGGGGCTAGTATCTGTTAAGATAAGAGTGATTTTGGCAAATAACATACCTTCCAAGG